AGAACAAATTTCCCGTAAAAGCTCTCAATTTGTGAGAAAAATTTTCTGTTTCAGAACAATATTTGTACTGTTTCAGAACAATATTTGTACTGTTTCAGAACAATATTTGTACTGTTTCAGAACAAGACTTGCACTGCTTCAGAACAAGACTTGCACTGCTTCAGAACAATATTTGTACTGCTTCAGAACAATATTTGTACTGTTTCAAGACAATGTCCGACGTACCACCAAAAAATATATTTTAGGTGAAGAGGTGAGATTTCACCTGTTTTTTCACCTGTTTTTTCACCCTCTTGAATTTTGTATAAAAGCAACCGCCAGAATTTCGACGGTTGCTATATTCTTCACAAAATGCTTGTTTTGAGGTCGAGCCACTTTTGGCTCCACCGTATTCTTTCAACCAAAACTCATGAAATTTGGTCATTTTTCAGCAAAAATAAAGTTTAGGGTAGATGGTTAGATCTCACCTCTTTTTTCACCTGTTTTTTCACCTGTTGAATTTTCATGAATTTCCTTAAGATAGAAAAAATAAAGTTTAGGGTAGATGGTTTTTAGGTGTCACCGGGTAACCATGTGTCACCAGGTAATTTAACTTCTCTGAAAAAATGAGACAACATGACATTTTGACAACAGTCGGGAAAATGTCAAGACTTCTTCATCGCAATGAGTGTAAATGAACCAAAAATATATTTTAGGTGAAGAGGTTAGATCTCACCTGTTTTTTCACCTAATTTTTCACCCGTTGAAGGAGTCACCATGTCACCGGGTAACCATGTGTCACCAGGTAATTTAACTTCTCTGAAAAAATGAGACAACATGACATTTTGACAACAGTCGGGAAAATGTCAAGACTTCTTCATCGTAACGAGTGTAAATGAACCAAAAATATATTTTAGGTGAAGAGGTGAGATCTCACCTGTTTTTTCACCCGTTTTCTCACCTCTTTTTTCACCCGTTGAATTTTCATGAATTTTCCCGAAATAAAATATAAAGTTAGTTTTTTAAAAAAATATTTTTTATTTTTATTGTAAGAACATGTTAGCAACAACTTCACCAAACTCGTTAGTCATGAACCCAACTTCAATGTTAGTAGAAATGAAAAGCTTCATTCCTTCTTCATATACTTTCGAAACAGAAATCCAGAAGATAAAGCAAGAACTTCTCCAAGGAGATTTAGACTGTAGTGCGAAAGATGAAACAAATGAACAATATCTTTATGAAATGCAGGATATTATTGACCATCTACCTAAACTTCCTGAAATACAACAACAAAAGCTTACTATTCCAGAATTTGAAGAAATAGAAGTCAAAGCAACTGACTCGGTAGAAATAAAGAAGTTCATACGTAAGGTTAACTATGAGTTTCTTGGATTTCATTGCAACCACAAAGTCATGGACAAAGACTGCGATATGGTATATTTCATTGACATATATAAATCTGAAGAATTTAAGACCTACGACAACTTTGTTTCGTTAGTTGCTGAATGTGTATGGCAGATAAGAGATAAAGATAAAAGATGTAAAATATGGAACGAACAAATAAAACCAACTGCTTCAGATTTAAAGAAAACCATTGACGCTATAGTTGTACTTGCAGGACAAATTTCAATGTACAATGTTAAAATGAACCCACAATGTTCTAAATGTAAAGCAGCAATGAGGAAATATAACTACTCCGTCAAAGAGATAGAACGTATGCGAAACGACTATGCTGACTTAAAGAAAGAAGTAGAGAGACCAGCAGAAGATAAAATGGACATGTTAGAATTTCTGAACAAAAACTATCCAACAGCTGACGATTTCCTTCTATCTGATGTCAAGAAGAAATATAAAGAAACTTTCGGCATTGTGAAAACTTTTGACATACTGACAGAGGAAATAGAAGCTACAAAACTGTTTAGGATTTCAAATATACATCGTACAATTCATGTAAGACGCTTGTGAAAAAGAGGTGAGAAAAGAGGTGAGAAAACAGGTGAGATCTCACCTCTTCACCTAAAATATATTTTTGGTTCATTTACGCTCATGTTTGACAAAACATTTACACTCATTTCGATGAAATCATGACAAAACATATACGAAGAAGTTTATTTCCTGTGTTGTTGTCAAAATGTCATGTTGTCACCATTTTCAAAAAGATGTTAGTTGACCGAGTGACCGAGTGACCTGGTGACCCTCATGAAAATTCAAGAGGTGAAAAAACATATACGATGAAGAAGTCTTGACAAAACATATACGATGAAGAAGTCATGACAAAACATATACGAAGAAGTTTATTTCCTGTGTTGTTGTCAAAATGTCATGTTGTCACCATTTTCAAAAAGATGTTAGTTGACCGAGTGACCGAGTGACCTGGTGACCCTCATGAAAAAAAGAGGTGAAAAAAGAGGTGAGAAAAGAGGTGAGATCTAACCATCTACCCTAAAATATATTTTTGCTGAAAAAAATGACCAAATTTCATGAATTTCCTCATATGTTTGCTACCCGAGGAAAACCGAGGATAGAGATTCCGTACGAAAATCGTAAAAAATTGCGAGTAGGGAAAAAAACCTGGTCGCCTAAAACTCATGAAAATCGTGAAAAAATGACCAAATTTCATTATATAACTGTTATTTTTTTACGAAGAGAACTTTTGCACTTCGTAAAAAAAATCCCTGAAATCATATCTTTTATACAAGATAGAAAATCTTACTCGCCTAAAACTCATGAAAATCGTGAAAAATTGCGACCCAGACTTTTTTCGGGGTCGCCTAAAACTCATGAAAATCGTAAAAAAATGACCAAATTTCATTATATAACTGTTATTTTTTTACGAAGAGAACTTTGACACTTCGTCAAAAAAATCCCTGAAATCGTGAAAAAATGACCAAATTTCATTATATAACTGTTATTTTTTTACGAAGAGAACTTTTGCACTTCGTAAAAAAAATCCCTGAAATCATATCTTTTATACAAAATAAATGAAAAATTGCGACCCAGACTTTTTCGAGGGTCGCCTAAAACTCATGAAAATCGTAAAAAAATGACCAAATTTCATTATATAACTGTTATTTTTGACGAAGTGAACTTTGACACTTCGTAAAAAAAATCCCTGAAATCGTGAAAAAATGACCAAATTTCATTATATAACTGTTATTTTTTTACGAAGAGAACTTTTGCACTTCGTAAAAAAAATCCCTGAAATCATATCTTTTATACAAAATAAATGAAAAATTGCGACCCAGACTTTTTCGAGGGTCGCCTAAAACTCATGAAAATCGTAAAAAAATGACCAAATTTCATTATATAACTGTTATTTTTTTACGAAGAGAACTTTGACACTTCGTCAAAAAAATCCCTGAAATCGTGAAAAAATGACCAAATTTCATTATATAACTGTTATTTTTTTACGAAGAGAACTTTTGCACTTCGTAAAAAAAATCCCTGAAATCATATCTTTTATACAAAATAAATGAAAAATTGCGACCCAGACTTTTTCGAGGGTCGCCTAAAACTCATGAAAATCGTAAAAAAATGACCAAATTTCATTATATAACTGTTATTTTTGACGAAGTGAACTTTGACACTTCGTAAAAAAAATCCCTGAAATCATATCTTTTATACAAAATAGAAAAAATAACGTTAGTTTTTTTTAAAAAATATTTTTTATTTTGTATGTAAAGACAGAAAATGTTAAAGGTTGAGTTTGAAACAGTTAGAAAGATAGACAATGACACCAAAGTGGTTAGAATAGGTGATTTAAACGTAAGATACTCAAAGAAATACAACAAATATTCTTTGTCAGACATTTTATCTCCATTTGGAAAGAAACCGAAGGACTGGGTTGGAATTGCTTCAACTCAGAAAATTTTGACAAGAAATCCTGAGCTTATGATATCGGTAAGATTCTATGGAACTACAGCATATCTTATAGACAAAAGTCTTATACCAATAGTTTTGTTATGGTTAGACCCAGTTGTTGGATATAACTTCATAACATATGGTTCATTCGATACGGAACGTTGCAGTGAAGGCTTACTTTACATCGTTCAGAAACCGAAGGACTTCAATACAAAGAGATATAAGATAGGAAGAACATATAATATAACTCTAAGATATGACAGTACAGTCAATAGAGTCAAGGTTGTGTTTGTTAACGATATGAGAGCTGCAGAAACAGAACTACTTGAAAAGTTTGAGAAAATGTATGGTGCTCCCACGAAAGGTAAAGAAACGTTTGAAGTAGATGAGATAGATAAAGCTATAAAATTATTTGACGAAGTTGCTGAAAAATACATGTAAAGCGTTTATTTTTGGTCTTTTGTGAAAGTCAGAAAATAACGCTAATTTTTTTCTATCTTAAGGAAATTCATGAAAATTCAAGAGGGTGAAAAAACAGGTGAAAAAAGAGGTGAAAAAACAGGTTAGATCTCACCTCTTCACCTAAAATATATTTTTGCTGACAGTAGCAGTATTTTTACTGACAGTAGCAGTACTTTTACTGACAGTAGCAGTACTTTTACTGACAGTAGCAGTACTGCTACTGTCAGTAGCAGAGATTTTTATCGTCGAAAACCCTCTCAAATTTTCCTTTTTACTGACATTAGCAGTACTTTTACTGACAGTAGCAGTACTGCTACTGTCAGTAGCAGAGATTTTTATCGTCCAACCTTACAAATGTAAACTTATATCGTTCTATTTTCTTCACTAGGGTCTAACACCAAAGTAACCTTACAAATGTAAACTTATATCGTTCTATTTTCTTCACTAGGGTCTAACACCAAAGTAACCTATGTACATGAAATTTCACTGCATAAAAGGAAAAAACCTGCGCGAATCGGGATTTGAACCGAGGTCTTCGACGCCTGTAACGAGGTAGCCCATACCACTGAGCTATGAGCCGCTTGCATATTTTTAAGTAAAATATAGTATATTTGTCATACCGTGAAGGATGACCAAACTTAAAAAAATAAAGTTAGTTTTTTATAAAATATTTTTTTATTTTGTATGTAAGGACAGATATGTCAACATCAGAGAACACAACAACTGCTATCGTTCATGAAGCCATAAATGAAGAATACGAGTGGGTTCAGTTTAACAAACAACTCCGTCTCATTCGTTCGGTCAAAGACGATATGTACCAAATGCAAAGTATTTTGACAGCATGTTTTGCACCAGATACCAAACATACAGACGATTGGTTCAGAAACCAAAGCACACAAGAACTTTTGAGTGAAATTTCTCTAGACCGAGAATTCTCGGTCTTGCATAAAACACATGAAAATCGTAAAAATTTGCCAATAAATTTAAGAGGTTGGTATGTTCATAGACTTTTAGTAAATGCTGTTGCAATATGGGCTTCGCCTCGTTATGCTTGGTATATTTACAGACTTCTTGACGAAATTCATAGACAAGAACGTGAAGAGATGGAAAAGAAACTTCATGCAAAAGATGAAGTCATTGAAGCAAAAGATGAAGTCATTGAAGCAAAAGACAAAAGCCTTCAGAAAAGAATACCACGTTCGGTACCAAAAGGAAAGGAAAAGAACTATAAGTATATGATTTATACTGAAGAGATGGAAAATGAAGAAGACAGAGATATGGTTATGTTGCATTTAGTCAGAAGAAACAACAAAAGCTTTTACGACCTTGCTAAGATTTACAAATCTGACAGAAATTGGTTCTATCGCGAAAACTTACCGATTTCAATGACCCCAAATGAAGATGTGAAACAAATAGTTCAAGATACGTTACCTCAAACACACTATGATATTAAAGGTTGTACAATACTTACCTTCAAAGAAGATTTGCCATTGTTAAAGGAAAAAATAACAGAGTATTTTGACAACTTCAAACAAGTAGAGTAGATGAACCATTTATTTTTCAAGCTTGACTTCAGATGGCTCAGGTAGCTCTATAAGGTAAATTGCCTTGTCAAATCCTTCTGGCATTCCGAGTCCTTCCTTCCGACAGGAAAATATTTTCCTTCTGGCATTCCGAGTCCTTCCTTCCGACAGGAAAAAATTTTCCTTCCAACAGGAAAAAATTTTCCTTCCAACAGGAAAAATTTTTCCAGTTGTCCGTCGTAAACCATTCAAATTTTCGAAAATTGAGAACTTTTTGGTCGAACTTCAGAAAAAGTTTTTCCTTCCGACAGAAAAAGTTTTTCCTTCCGACAGGAAAAGTTTTTCCTTCCAACAGGAAAAGTTTTTCCTTCCAACAGGAAAAATTTTTCCAGTTGTCCGTCGTAAACCATTCAAATTTTCGAAAATTGAGAACTTTTTGGTCGAACTTCAGAAAAAGTTTTTCCTTCCGACAGAAAAAGTTTTTCCTTCCGACAGGAAAAGTTTTTCCTTCCAACAGGAAAAGTTTTTCCTTCCGACAGGACACAAACGAATGTCCGACGTACCACCAACCGAGTCCATTCCAAAGCCAGAAGAACCGAAAGCTGCAGAACCACAACAGACTAAGACTAAACACTTACATTTTTTACGCTTGACTTTTTACAATTTGAACTTTGTTCGCGTAGATATGAATTCTGAAAGAAGTATGAGGGTCTTGTATGACTTTGTACTTCTCCCATAGTTCATGTCTGTCAAACTTACCTGCCATGGACTCTTTCATAAGTTCCATGAAATCGTCTTCGGACAATCCGGGGAAAAGTACAATGTCAGTAAGTATTCTCTTTACATCCTTACTTAAACTCTTTGCTGTCTGTACACAAATGACAACTGAGATGTTAAAGTGTCTGAGCTTCTTAAGAATTCGACACATGTCTTGTTCTCTGTTCTTTAACAAAGGGTGAGAAGCAAAGTCATCTAAGATAAGAAGACATCTATGAGGGTACGTTTTCCAATCGTAAGATTGCAATTTTTCGAAATGTATTCTATCTCTTTCTGTTTGTTTCTGAAGTGTTTCTTCTCTAATATTCTCTGCATTTCCTCATTTGGGTCTTTAAACTTCGAATTGACATACTCATTTATAGCATTATACTTCAAAACCCTTCTTTGGTACTTCTTTTATCCAATCTAACAACTCAGAGTCTTTTATACATACTAACTTAGACTTCTTTATAATATCTTTGAACGAATTGACGGTTTGGTCAAATTGACCCGAAGTACTACAAATGACAACTAACTCATAGAATGGGTTCTTCTCATCTAGTTCTTGTTGTTGTGCAGCCATTTTAAGATAAGTGAAAGTCTTACCCGACCCAGGTGGTGCAATTAGACCTGTTATACCATTCTGAGCAAATAAGAACTTGTCATGTATGGGTTTTATCTGAGCATTTTCTAACTTCCTCTTGTTCTTGTTTAAAACATTCTCAAATTTTTTGTCAATGTCAGCAAACTTTTTTTCTAACATATTTTTAGAAAATTAAAAATTTTTATCTTTTAGAAAATGTCTAGCGATTTCGCTATCTATATTCGAGACAAACTTTTCGACAGCAAAACATCTGTCGACCATAAAATCTTACATAGTGTAAACAAGAAAGGTGAATTTGTTCTAAAGTTCTGTTTCTGGGAATATGACAAGAACCATAAAACATTAAGCAGAGCAGTCTTAAAATTTGTCAATGACAGACTTGTTGACAGAGATGACGCCTCTTGGAGAGATGAAGTCCAACAAAACTTCTTAGAATGCAAAGAAGACACATGCACTGTTCTTGAAGATGAAATAGAAAACAGAATAGAAGAGCTATTAAAGGACAAAAGAACTTTTACAAAAATATGAGTTTCTGAGAAGTTTGACATAACTCCACCAGAAAAAAAGAAGAGAGAAAAGAAAGAAAAGAAAGTAGAAGAAGAGAAGAAAGAAACCAGAGCCAGAGAAGAAGAAATTTGACATGTAAAAATAAAAATTTTATAGAACATTTCTGGGTCAATGTCAATGTTCTTTCCTCTTTAGGAGTAAACACTGGCTTAGACTCTAAAAATCTTTTTACCCAATTTACCTTGAACTTCTACAACTTTAGACTCATAATATTCATAGTCGTCTGCTTTCTTTTGGTTCATAAGGTATAACAAGTTTGTATGCTTTGCCTTCTTTAAGGTTTGAGAACCTTCTGTCAAAACTTTCTTTGACTGTTAACAAACCTTCTATGTCTAAGTCTTCAAATTTCGCACCATTTTTAGTCACAATAGCAAACTTAACTGGTTCGATGTTCCAAACTTTGCTGAATGAAGACTTTTCAAAATGGTAGAAGTAAACATTCAAATATGTGAATGGTCTAGTCTTCTTTAAGTCCTGACATGTACTTGTTTACTGAGATGAATTTTGTCATCTTTTCTATCGGATAAAAAAAATATTTTTTTTAAATTTACTCAGAAAAATTTTTCTTTGTATATACACCATTCTGTACGTCTAAAAGACTTTTGACATTTGCCAAGAATGTTCGTTTAGACGCTGTCATATAACCATATTCTTGACAATATTGTTTATACGAATCGTACAATGACCTTTCATCTAAACACTCAAAGTCAGTTTCATCTATGAACAGTTCATATACACTCTTGTTTGCTTCTAACAATGTTTGTCTCTCTTCGGTATGTGGAATTTGTCTTGGATTGAACTTTGAAATATCTAATGTCATAAAATATGAGAAACAAGTGGTTGTAAAAGTCAGATGTCAAAGTTTCTGCTAAGTCGTCAAAATATTCTGTATCTTGCATATGAGAATCTGACGTTCTGACAACTACATATCTTCTGTCAGAACTTTCTAATTTCATCGGAACAGCATTGTTTGAAACCATAATGAAATTTGCAACATTTTCACAAACTCTTTGGTCTTTATATTTTCTTTCAACAACTCCAACTTTGTCTGTTATAAGACTCTTCAAAGCATCTGAGTTCAAAACTTTGTTGTATCTATACTTTGAAGTTCGTTACATACTATAAGTTTCATATTCTCTATTGAAGAGTTAAATTTACCGCAGATGTTTTCTAAGTTTGTCATATTAGGGTTCGAATAGCCCTCTAACAGTTTGCATAAGATATCTGTAAAGAAAGTGTTCTTACCAGTTCCTTGTTTTCCAATATAATGAGAGCAGTTTCATTTTTAGCACTTGGATGTTGTAAGATGTTTGCAAACCAACATAAGATATACTCATAAACCTTTTCGTTTCCATTGCATATAATTTCTTTGACATGGTCTAACCAAGCTTCTATAATATTTTCTTTTCCATTCTACTTGTTCGTATTTATATCCAGTGAAGATAGAATAGAAGTTTGGAGAAGGTGTATAAAACTTTTATACCACGAACTGAAAAATCTTCTAACTTTGACAATAAGATATCCCAAGCATCTAACATCTTCATACCAACTTGTACGACTTTTATTTTCTTAAGTTTCTGTCTACATTCTTGTTCTGAAACTATTGTTGCTCTTGGTTTGTTAAAGACTACATCCCATTCTTTCATAACATAAAATTCTGGGGCAGAGTCGACATAAATGACTAAACGTTTCAAATTCTCGACTGCTTTGTTATAGTCTCGAAATGGACACATATTTCTGAATGTTTGGAAGTCATAAAAATCTGAAACATCTATTCTGTACATTTTTATAAAAATAAAAAAAAAATATTTTTTTATTCTTGAGCTATTTGTTGTTGAAGTTGTTCTTGAGCTATTTGTTGTTGAAGTTGTTCTTGTAATACAATACTTTCACCAGTTGCATCTTCCAATTCGAAACTTTCTGCCGTCATTGACAAATACATAGGACATAAAAGTTTTACAGGAACAAAGTTTGCGTCAACTAAGGTTAAGTTTATGTTTGCTAAAGTGTTTGAGTTTACTAAAGCTGAAAAACTCTGCATTCGAATGAACAATAGGCAAACCAGCAGAGAATGTGTTATTTATACGCATAAGTATCTTTTGGTCATAGTAGTTTCTGTCGACATTCGAATAACACTTTGAACCTAAGTTTGAAACAATATATAAAATAGGTGTACTTAAAGTCAATGGAACAGACATTCCTTGTATGACACCTTTTCCTGTTATAGGAAACTGTTGGTAGTAAAAACCAGATATAAGTTTTGTATTATAGCTCATATTGTTTATAGTAAACTCAGTCGGACATCCAAACATAATGAAACCTGCTCTAGTTGCAGCACATGTTACACCCGTACTTAAAGTATTAAATAAGTCAACAAAACCTGTTGGTGGTATATCTGAGTAAGTATCTTCAAAGGAGTATTTTTTACCATTCACAACAATAAAATCTTCTGGTGTCAAAAAGAGCAAAACAAGCTTTAGTCGTCATTGTGTTTAAGGTTAGTTTACAATATCGTCCTTGAGGACTTTGTAAGTTTGTTGTTATAGAATTATATGACTCAGGGTTTTTAGTCGTAATAGTATAAACCATTGTGTCTTCTGCCATTTACTTAGCAAATAAATTTTAATGAAATGTTGTGGTCGTCAAATATTTTTATAACGTCTGGGAAACTATATTTTAAGTTCAACGTTTCACCTCCTTTCATAACGTATATCTTGTCAATGACATTATATGAAACACCACAGCAACTAACGTCGGGTTCTATTTCTTTGATGTTTATATCGTCTGCCTCTGTCAAAAGTTTCAATAGTTCTTTCAAAACTTCATGAGG